TTTAGGATATAAATTCTGCAAAAACCTCACAGAGTTGGTCTGACGTTTTAATTATGATCAGCGTTTCATTGAGTATTATATGTTTTTTAATTTTTTGAGTTAGATTGCAATTCATCGGTGAGCCAAACGGACTATACACTGTACACGGATTTTCTAAATTTTCTTTCGTCTGTCTAAAACACGTTTAGCGTTCAATAAAATGAATATTGCCAAACTACCCAGTCTAATAACGCAGATGTACAAAAGACCATCGGATTTAAATATTTCGCATGATCAGATTCAACAAGCGTTTCACCTGAACGGCGTCGACAGCGACAGTCTATTAGTCCGGGACGTTACTGCATGGGCGACATGCGTGATAATTCAGCCATTGTTACCAGCCTCGCTTGTCTGTCGGCAACACAGCAAACCACACCATTATCTCCGGCAGTTGTAACACACTGACAGCCTGTTGGATATAAACGTATCGACAGGTTTTGTTACAAGTGTATAAAGCTTTATTAACGACATGAGAACACCGCTGACATATCTCTCGTTACTGCTGATAATGCCTGCTAATATGCACCATGTATTGAGGATACAATCGCTTTATAATGGGGTTTGTGTGACACTGTGAACTTTGATAGCGATGTGCCATGCATACAATATTTTCAAATCTCTAAAAAAAACACTGCATTTTCTGCCATATAAGGTCCACACTAAGAAGGCAAGACCACCGGACCCATTCAGTGCGCTACCAGGCACATGGGGTGATATTGTAGCGGTAAATCTCAACAGGGTTATATAACCTGCACGTGCTTGTATAGGTTTCATCAAGACATACTGAATATTTTATGAGATATGCTCCGGAAAACCACCGGAAACGTCATTTAATTCATTATCGCCAAGTTAAAAGAATTTGATTGAAAGGAATTTGCGTTTTTATTCCATATCAAAATCACCGGTGTTTAGAAATTAAACATTTAACGAGAGAGAGAGAGAGAGAGAGAGAGAGAGAGAGAGAGAGAGAGAGAGAGAGAGAGAGAGAGAGAGAGAGAGAGAGAGAGAGAGAGAGAGAGAGAGAGAGAGAGAGAGAGAGAGAGAGAGAGAGAGAGAGAGAGAGAGAGAGAGAGAGAGAGAGGGGAGAGAGAGTTGTACAGTGCTAGCCCATTGTTATGTCATGTCGAAGTTTGACATAACTACCAGCACAGACACGGTATACCAGTCCGTGTACAATCCCCTTACTGGCTAACTGTGACAGATGCAATATATTCTGTGGATCTCAAGGCCTCCTATGCGTTTATGCTGTATTTGCATCTGAATGGATTCCTGTGAACTTGAGTGGGAAACAAAATACGTACATTGTTCTTTCTGTGGACATATTGGGTCACAATGTGTCATATTTATGACACGTCAGACTGTGTCTGCTTATTTATTACTTCGGTCTGTTTCGGATATTTCCGTTACTGTTCGTTCTAATGTCATGCCTAAGCTTAAGGAGTAATTTCAAGTTGCTGTCAATATTCCTCTTTCACAGTAATACTACTGTTGCCTAGTAACGCAGCAATAAATTGAGTGCGTACATGTACAGCGTTCATTACCAAACATTAAGATTTAATGATAAAGGATCTCATTAAAAACATATCATTTCTTCCGACATAATAAGAACGCTTCACACAAACAGGTGCAGACAGAGTGTAATTCTCTACCTCTTTTATATGTAGTACATGTATACGCAAGTTCGTGTGCGCAAACTGCACAATCTCTTTAATTTGCATATCAGGCAGGATATGAAGGTTTTTATAAGGTGCGTGATGAAAATGACACGTGTCATTACCTGAAATGAACATGACGGCCCCTTACCATATTTGGTCACTTCGTGACGCAATCATAATGTGGTCTCTTATAAATACCAGATGTGAGAGGTTGTTGTGGATTGTACGACGCTTCTATCAGTGAGACTTACACGGGGTATATGTGTAAACATAACACACATAGAAAGGAAAGTAAATGAAGTTCACTTTTGCCCCACGTTAAAATTGATCCAGACTCGAAAGTTTAAATAAATACAGTACATGAAAATAGTATATTTGATATATTTTTACTCCAGGTAAATATTAAATCAAACTCCTTACCTGAATCGATGATGAGACGCAAGGGAGCTAACTCTACCCATCCTGCACGAAATGATTGAGCGGTACTGACTTAATCTTTAAAGTTTTAAGAACTATAATAAGTGCTGTGAACAGATATTTAAGAGTGAGAATGTTAATATCTTCTATCGAATGAGTGAGTAATGAATAACTGGCCAGTAATATGCATGGTACAAATGTTCGGAATACTGAGACAATCCTGTACCTTGATAACGACTATAACAGGTGGGTTCCGAATGCAAAGAAATAAAGTCGTATTTTAATATTATCGAGGGTATATTTGATTTTCTGTGGAGGTTTTCTTTGTAGAGATCATAATTTCAGTATGGAGGTGGTAACGAAATGAGACCGGATCGTTTTAGAAAGCTGACGTTTGATTGGGTTTTAGATATTAATACTTATGCATTTTAAAATATTTTTTCAACTATTGCTCTTAGTAAATAGGAAATTAATAGTAAATCACTTTAAATGGTGGTTAGTGAATAATCCCACCAAGGTATGCATCCGTTTACGATGACAATGCTAATAATAACGGCATAATTGTTTTGGAAAATACTCGTTTGGATATTTTACAACAGCTTAAATCAGGCCCCTTAATTATATTATGAGGTGACTTCAACTCAAGGAGTGGTCAACTACCTGATTATATTGAACCAAACAGAGATGTGGATGAAGATGATATTTTCTATGATGGACTATCAACACCGAGAACTGAGGAGGACAATAATGGCAATCAGTTTGGTAGTTCTCTTTTGGAGCTGTGCCAATCTCTAAATATATCCATCCTCAACAGTCGGGTGTCTACTTCAACTGGTAACTTTACTTTCTTCTGTGATGATGGTGCAAGTTCAATAGATTATTGTACTGCATCCTCTGAACTGTGTTCCTATATAACGGACTTTGAACTTGGAAATAGATCTGAATCTAAACATCTGCCAGAGACCTTTTCAACAGGAACCGATTTGCTTGTCACTGAAAGTTGTACAGGGACTGATAAATATGTTTGGGATGAGTCAAAGGTGGATGTATATGTGAACAATCTGTCCTGTGAGGAAACTAAGTTAGCTATAAGCAATGCCACTGATATTCTTCATGCTGATGTTGATGTGTCTATTTCTGTGTTTAATATTATCCTACACGATGCATCTAAATGATTTGTCAAACCATCCCATTGTACATCTCAAGGTGTTAAAATGTATGGTATGATAAAGAATGTTATGATTGAAAATTGGATAGTAGAAGGCTGCTTACACGTCATAGGAAATGTAAAGCACGTCAGTATAAACAGGTTTTGTATATTAAGTATAAGTCAACTGTTAGAGGTGAAAAGCAGACATTCAATAAGACAGAGGTGGTAGTTAAGGACGAGGTCATTCAGTCATTGAGGCGATTGAAGTTGGGTAAATCAGCAGGTATTGATAAACTTTTGGCGGAAATGTTTTTTGTATGGCAATCCATTTCTCATTGATTATATGGTTAAGCTGTTCAACACTATTAATGATTCAGGTGTTTTCCCTTCGCAGTGGTCAGAAGGTATTATTGCCCGTTGCACAAAGGTGGATCTCGTGATTATCCAGATAATTATAGAGCATGCAATGTAGTGGCAGATATCACTCTTATTCTTCATTCAAATTGAATTTACAACCGGAATTGTATTTAACTCACGGGGACTGTTCCTTATATCGTCGTGACTTGACGAAACTGGGTACTGGCATTGCCAGATTACAAGTTGAACTTGGGCGAAATCATAATGTAATAAGAAACTGCGACTGTGTAAAGTGTGTAAGTTAGACATGATTGAAGACGAATTTCATTTTGTTATGATATGTCGAGCTTATGAAAGCTTAAGATCTAAATACCTACCGTTTGTCTGTACCTCCCATAATATAAAACTAGGTTCATCAACCTAATGGCATCTAATGATACAAACGTTATTATTAAGCTACAACTTTATGTTCACTATGCATAACGTCTGAGACGTCAAAGTTTGTAGGGCGGTTGGGTAGTCTAGTGGTTAAAGCGTTGGCTCGTCACGCCGAAGACCCGGGTTCGAATCCCCACATGGGCACAATGTGTGAAGCTCATTTCTGGTGTCCCCCGCCGTGATATTGCTGGAATATTGCTAAAAGCGGCGTAAAACTAAACTCAGGCAGTCAGTCAGTCAGTCAAAGTTTGTAACATGCAAGTTCCAAGCAGCTGGTTGTATCATCTGTATATGGGCCGGAGGTCACACATGCTGAATAAACAAATTGAATTGAATTGAATAATCACAAGATAGGGCACACCTGTTGTAACCACAGCATGGACAGTTGGTCAGGCTACAATGACACACACTTTATCAGGTCACACGTTGTTGGCACCCACGTCTATCAGTTCGTAGACAAGCTATTGGAGGTGAGGTGAAATTGGGTTTAACGTCGTGCTTGAGAATATTTCGCTCATATGACGACGTGCATGCGTGTGTATGCGTATGTGCGGCTGCTTGTACTAGCCCAGACTGAAGCTGGTTTTATAGTGCCAGCCCACTGAGATACCATGCAGCAGTGAAGCATGGATACCCCACTCAGACACATTATACTGACTCCGAGCCGACCAGTCCCTGTTGTACCCATTAATGCCGAGCGCCAGGCAGGGACCAACAAGTACCATATTTTAAGGTCTTTTGGTATGACGCGGCCGGGAATCGAACCCGCGATCTTCCGCTCTCCAGGCGGACTCTAACCACTACACCACGGAGGCGGTACAAGCTATTGGAGCTGAAGACCCGGTGAATCTGAATTAATGATACATAGGACAAAAAGCGGCGTGTACAAAATTATGTTGCATTTAATACACTTTTATTTTATCCAAGTTGACACCAATCCTTGTTTAGCAATGTCCACATGTCTTGGGGCAGGTCTGTGTGGCGAAGTCCGTATCGTCGCAGATGTGAGGGGTGGTGCAGGGGAACGTGGGGTCGTCTTGGCAGTCGACCTTGATCGTGAGGGGCGGGGTCGTAGAGTAATCGGGGGTGGTCATGTCTATATCTGTAACACATATTCAACTTAGGGCCACACCCAGTGTATGAATTAATTGAGAAAAGTCACTGGCCAGGATGGCAAGTTAAGTATAAATGTTGCCAGCCCAGAACATACTTCTCTGGCCCTGCAAAATATCAATATCAAAATGAACATCGGTCAGAATTGGTGTGATGTTTGGTAACTGAAGATGGCAAGTTATTGTCTGACTAGTCTCTTTTGCGCAACGCTATTAACATTTTTATGTAGCGATATTCGTGTGACAAGAGATAATAAATGGACCTTTAACACCTCAATAATTGACTTCATCATACATGTATTTATGTGCATTAAACAAATTTATCTGAGGTCTTCAGCTAACCACTCGGGATACAATATATTGCTGACTCCATTCACAATCAGCTAGCATTTGGCGAGCGGGCCAGTGGCTGTTTTGAACGCTGGTCACACAACCTTCGGAATTTGTATGGAGACCCGAGATTTTTTAAACTGCCCGAACCAGACATCTAGCTGATATTTTGTAGTCCAGTTTACTTTTCGTGACCGACAATTAACTTTCAATGGTCTGAAATGTTTCCGCTAAAATGTAAGGACCCCTAGTGTTTCGGCGACACAGAGCGTGAACCACCACCCTGGGTCTGTGAGCACCACACCCGTGCTCGTGTGTCTCTCGACTGTGGTGAACGTCGGACACCTGCATCAGTCGGGCTTTCTTACAACAGTAACCTGACATCCAGTGATGTAACTGAATAGCATTCACATCAGCGTTCACCCATCTCTCTCTCACTCACTCACTCAAGTTGACGAAGGGCGGTGGGGTAGCCTAGTGGTTAAGGCGTTCGCTCGTCACGCCTAAGTTCCGAGTTCGATTCCCCACATGGGTACTATGTGTGAAGCCCATTTCTGGTGTCCCCCGCCGTGATTTTGCTGGAATAATGCTAAAAGTGGCGTAAGACTATACTCACTCACTCACTCAAGTTGACGATTTCCTACAATAAACAAGCGAGTGAGGAGTGCCGAATTTCGGAGACATCTTTGACCCAAAATGAACTTTGTATCACGTGCTTGTACAGTTTTCATTTACACTGGGTAAACGGCTGACTCTGTACACCTGTTAGAAAGGAAAACATGTTCCATGAAACCTCTTACGTCAGCCTTTTTGACACATTGGAACTTTACCACTACAGATACTGTTGTATAAGCCCAGCACACGATATCGGCGAAATGAACAGTTCTAATCTAATCCCCATTCACGTAACACATCAGACAACGTAGGTAAAAACTAGACCTCATCATGAAAGATCCTTGTGAAGCATTGGTATTTGCAATGTTGACTATCGCAGCTGCTGCGAATACTTATAAAACTCTTTGTGCTGCAGTTCGATTCCCCACATGCGTACGATGTGTGAAGCCCATTTCTGGTGTGCCCCGTCGTGATGTTACTGGAACATTGCTAAAAGCGGCGTAAAACCAAACTCACTCACTCGCTCTTCGTGTTGCACGTGCGATATGTATTTGAGGTCGACTAGATGCGTGCTGACTATTTGGACTCTGTCACTCCCTTTCAAGTAATATTTGATGAATCAAGAGATGGTTTGTAAATGCAACCTAGGTGTCACGAACACCTACCGCCCTGGGGATACGCACCTGTCGTGAAGTCCACGGTGGATCCCCCGCAGTGTCCGCACGTTTTGGGGCAGGTCTGGAGCGAAAAGTCAGGGTCACTACAGATTGACCCAGCTGACTGGGCACACGGGAAGCTGGGGTCATCTCGGCAGTCCGTCCCGACTGTCATGGGTGGGGCTGTTGTCGGCGGCTTGGCTATAAATGATACCATTAAATAATATATGACGCACCTTCGCGACTTGGAAAATATTTCAGTCATAACGCAGTTTATAATTACTGGAAAACTGGTAACTAGGCCTTCAGTCTCGTATGTCAACCACACCGGAGAATAATATACTACCCATCAAAACTTTAGACTCACTAGTGTAAATGTAGCCACTTACTTTAGTCAACTGTTCTCAACTAGATTTTGCAAAATATCCCGTACTATTTAAAGGTATTGTTTACACATGAACTGATGTATGGTAAAAGAAATTCGTAACCTTGAAAAGCCTATTGTCATGAGTTCAATAAATGATGAAACTCAATGAAAATTGGCGAATTCTTAACAAAACTTTACACCAAAACACAGCTTTTTACATGGACGATATTTGCACATGCTTTTCAGCAGTTTGATGCATGATTCTGGTGCAATTCATCTGCATAAGGTTTACGGTTGGTTCCCCCAAGTTAGTGGAGAAATTCATATTCGATGTAACCACATATATATACATAACATATAGTGAGTGCTTTAAGTGAGTCTAAGCTTTTGATGGGTAGTATATATCTAGGAACAAAATCATGTTGAACCTGAATTCCCTGCCAGATTCTTCCCCGTCAACAGCAGGAACATAGAAGGGTACTCAGACCGTTTGTGCTCAAACTTGATATGAACACGGTCAGTCCTTCATTGGGCGCCAATTGCAAGGTAGTGGCCACCGCATTTTAATGTCCCGCCATCCACGGACCTTCTGATCTGCAGTCGGACACCTTGTCCACCCTACGACTGTGTTACGGTATACTACCTTCCTAACGACTGTGTGTTACGGTATACTACTTACATAACGACTGAATGACACAGTCTCCAGTGAGGCAGCAGGACTGACACGGCTGGGTGCTGTTATCCGGACAGTCGGTCACCGGGCTACCGGCACTACACTGTAAGGGACATTAAGCGGATGCTTGTCACATAGCATGCATCGACGGTATTATCATTTGACTAATTATTCCGATCTCGAGTGAGTAAGTTTTGTTTTACGCCGCACTCAGCAATACTCCAGGGCCTAGATTTTCGAAGCTCTCTTAGTGCTAAGATAGTCGTAAGTGCCATACATTCTTAGAGCTAAGAGAGCTTCGAAAATCTAGGCCCAGTTATATGGCGGCGGTCTGTAAATAACCGAGTCTGGACCAGACAATCCAGTGATCAACAGCATGAGCATCGATCTACGTAACTGGGATACGATGACTTGTGTCAATCATGTCAACGAGCCTGACCACCCAATCGCGTTAGTCGCCTCTTACGACAAGCATGGGTTACTTAAGATCAATTCTAACCAGTATCTTCACGGGCCATTCCGATTTATTGCAAGCAGATATTTACTCCGATGGGACACCTCAATGCACGCAGATCTGGTTGCAGTGTGAAATAGGAAACGAACGGATGTTGATGGAATACTACTAACTAAAACATCAAACCCAACCTCCTGTTGTGTTCTAAGGTCACGTGTAGGAAAACGACTCACCTTGCTCTGATCCGCGTTACACTCCGCGGAGTAAAGACCGTGTGTTTTACTGATACGGCAATTCTGTAAGAGAACATGTACAGGGACAAGGTATGATAAAGGCCCTTATTGGCCCACAAAATTTCATGATATTCAAAGTTCTACAACATGATAATTTTAGCATAAAAATGCTAAATAAATTGTTGAAATTACCTCCATATGGTTTTTATATGTTTTAGTGCTGTTTTTCTCCTCTTTGAAGACCTCAAAGTTAACCTATTTTACAATATCTTCGAAAAACCTGCATTTTCATATTTTCAGAGTGATAAAAAAGTGTGAGCAAAAGCTTGACCCATTCCAATTTTTTCACCACACATGAAGAGAGTAAATTAGAATGCACTCCTAAAATATTGTGGTGGGTCACGCTTTTGCTCATATCAAAATGTTTAAAAAGTACATTTTTCTGTTGTATGAAATTGCCCCATACAACATCTCAAAATAAACATTGGCGTAATGTAATATCTCTGAAAACTATCCGTCACATTTACACAACTATACCATGATTCATTACTATTTTGAATGTTTTAGAGCACTAAAATGAACTTATCAAACATGTTTATTAAAAATTTCAATATCGTAAGGGACTCTCAAGGCTGATTACTTTGAGGTAAACAAAGGTAGTTTTTTGGAGACCCTGTTGATCACTGCTGAAAAAATAAGAAGACATCAGAAGATTTTTCAAAATATGATCAGGCAGCATTCTAAAGGTGAGAATCTTTGTAATTATGCTAGAATTTTATCATATTTGTTCTATCATCTGTTTAGCAAACCCCTCTGTGTCACCTGTCACTGTCAAATAACACTGGCATTCCACTGGATGTAACTGTGTATAAACATACACATTTTAACAAAAATAATGTACCTTGATGTTTTCTAGGATATATCAGGCTACATTTAATATTGTTAGAATAAGAACATTGTATCAAGGTCTAGCAGATTATGAAATGCAAGCAGACGTCAAGTGACACATTGTTGCAAAGTGTAATATATAAGCTTAAAGTGACAAATAGTAACAGTAGAATCTGTAGCCTAGTGGTTACAGTGATGGCCTCTCAATTTTTTTCTGTTATCAGACATTCAGGTTCAAATCCTAATGGTTTTTTTCTTTTCTTCTTTTTTTTCTTCAAAAGTTAAGTTAAGCATTGTAAATTGTCTGACAAAACTTGTGCACATGAAATACAAATTTTGTAAAAAAATTCTTAAGTTTGCTAATGTAAGTTACACTGTTCAAACAAACTTGAATTAACATCATGTAAATCTTGTTTAAGCCTAAAGACACTGACTTTTCCACTTTGTTCCCACACAATAAAGAACCTGTAGAAGGTAAGCATTGTTTCAAAATGTTAGTATGGTAATTTCTTTAAGTAAATATTTACAAACTGTCCAGAGCTGTTAATTAGTGGTGCACTGATCAAACAAATAATTAGTTTATGGATATTTTGTGGGCTGCCAGTCAATTACCGATAACCAAATCACATAATCAATTAAAGCGTTCACCATTTCTTCTTAAAAATATGTTTACAGAATCAATGACTATTGGTTTCAATTGTCATATTAAAACTGAGGACTGATTACCTTTGTTTTCATGTGCTCTAACAGTTGGTTTTATCTTATATCTATAATTGATCAAAAAGTGGCCTCAACAATTGATTATGCTTTTGGAGGTCAATTCCCTTCCCTATATAACTATACTATTGACATGTTTAGCATTAGAAAAATTAGAAAGCACCAATTTCTTGAACATAATGATAATTCTTTTATGATTTCAAATATTTGTTTTCAGATAAGAGAAATTTGCTTGGACTGATTTCAGGAGTGTCATTTCATGAAGATGACAACTTAAAACTTGAGGTGGAAGGTAAGCATAATATGAGTGCTAAAAATAACCAATATTTTTTTCTCAATTTTCTAATTTAATGTGACAGAATTTCAGAAATACTGATGTCTCAGTGGTGATTAAATCTGCATAAGCCTTCAAGGCCAGACTACTGACATTTGAAAATAAATAAGTAATGTTACACTTGAATAGATTTATAATATCAAAGTTTTAAAACAGAATTTTCTTTTGATATAAAGTCATCTGTTTTTCAGTTGAGAGAAGATCTGGGTATGGCAGACACCAAAACAATATGCCAGTTTCCAGCAACTCTAGTGATACACGGTTGAATGCTGCAGTTCTTGACAGTGATTCAGAAACTGATTCAGAGATTGATGACCATGTGGATGAAGAGTGAAAGTGGATGTTTTATATATCTTTGCAGTGAATGAGTTGTGAATAATTACTTTTTGAAGATTTTTTAATACTGACTTTTAACACTTACTTGGTGTCAAAATCAAGCTGTGCCAAGAATGTAATTTCACCCAAAATGGCCCCCTTTGAGGTCAAGACCTGTGATATTTAGGGAAGCATGGTTGGTTATTATAACAACATGTTGAGAATGAGATGTTTACTGTATATATTTGCAAGAATGTTGTAAATACTGACTTTTAACACTTACATGGTGTTAAATCAAGCTGTGCCAAGAATGTAATTTCACCTGAAATAGGCCCCTTTGAGGTCAAGACCTGTGCTTTTTAGTGCAACATGATTGGTTATTGTAATAACATGTTGTGAATGAGATGTTTACTGTATATTTGCTAAAACCGGTTGTGAATACTGACTTTTAACACTTACTTGTTAAAATCAAGCTGTGCCCAAAATGTAATTAGACCTAAAATGGGCCCCCTGTTATATTTTGTGGGACATGATTGGTTATCATAAGTACATGTTGTAAAATTGACCTATAGTTCATGTTTGCAAAGAAAGTTGTGAATAATGAGCTTTTTTGTAATCAATTGGCAAGTAATTGAATTACTGTCCACAATGGATTGCAACCCTAATTGGGCCCCTTGAAGTTAAAACCTTATGATTGATGTTGACATGTTTCTTCATCATGAATACCTGTTGCAAAACTGATACTGTTTGTATATAAATAAACTGATAGTTGTATATAAGTCATTATGGCACACTGATATTTCAGATTTCTTGTTATTTTTTCATGGGAACTGATAAAACCCATTTTTGGCCCCTTTGCTTTGAAATTATGGCCTCAGATCATTTAAAAAATAGCTTTTTTATGCAAAGCCATCTTGTCTCTAAACAAATAACATGTGTTCAGCCAATTCTGTTTGTGGGCCAAAAACCACCCTTATCATACCTTGTCCATGTTAATTAAAACAAATTGAAACTTACATGCATGTTTTATTAATAATCTCAGTAAGTTCTGTAAATATATCATGCAAATTGTAAAATTGTCCGGCTAGCTAACTAACTAATATCGGCACAATAATATGGTCTCTAATTTATGATCATTTACACGACCTCTTATCCGGCGTCACTCTATTCCGTATTTCGGCACAACAAAGACCGCCCAATTGACTGTTTGTACAGTAATTAACGCTCTCTATACCGGCATCCGGTATCTCGGCTTTCCTGTTGATTGCCTGATTGGCTGAACGTGTATTAACAACACAGTGGATTACCATCGGCATTAAGCTCATTGATGTTGCCTGATAAAAGGAGTATGGATAATAATTAGGCCTTAGTAGGTGTTATCTTTATTGATGAATGAAGAATATGATGACTATCAACACGTTGTTCACTCGTTTTTAACGGCACACGGAAGATCATTCTTAGGTTGAAAAGGGAAAAAGTTCTCTAAACCGGCACGTCCTCTATACCGGCATTTTTGCCGGTCCCAACGAATACCGGTTTAGAGGGCTTCCACTGTACTATTATACTACTACCACAATATTATCATTTATTATCATTTGTACCTCATATGCCGGTGATATCGGCCTGAGTGTAATAAAGTGCTGTTCTGTTATTTATCTCATTTGCTATTCCAATTTCATTAAGAGGTAACATACAGGAGATTAGCTGTGCACTCAACCATATGGTTTGTTGTTTTAACCTGTCTGACTATTGGGATGTCTGACTAATGGGAGGATACCGTCAGAATGAGGCAGGTCACGGTTATGGTGCCGTGGATCATAAACGAGTAGAACCATGGGTTTGAACATTCGTGACCATGCCGAATCTTGGAGGTTACGGAAAGGGGCGAGTGGTGACGAATGGGGTTTGAACAGGCGACTCCTTGCAGGGACAAAAACTGCGACACTGCCGCGAGTTGCGACGCTTCACACTTTCCGTGCTCCGTGAAATAGGACAGCAAATAGTAGCTTGTTTGTTTTCTGTACGAGTACAAAAAATAAGAAACGTTATAAATTGAAATTAATTCTAATAGAATCAGATATATTATATACAGTAATATTTGAGCGGAGCCTATCCCACGTGTATATGCTGGACACAACTTACGACGGCCGACGGCGTGCAAGGTACCGCGTTGAGGAGGCACTGTTGGGGATCTGCTACATCGGTACAGGATGGACAGTGCAACACGTTAGGGATGCTCTCAAGTTCTGAAAGAAGAATTATTATTGTTTGTTTGTTTTGTATTCCAGCTGTGTACATCATAATCACGGAAAGACCAACAAGAGACCGATAATATCCACCACATTCCAAACCAGGGACACTACACAACAGCCAATCAGGTGATCGAGGCTGACCACGTCTATAGAATCGCCCCTTATGGCCAGCATGTGTTTCTGGCGACACACCCTATCCTGGATTCGACATGAGGACAACTACTCAGTCGTCTAAGAAGACGCAATATGCTGGCCAGAGTTGTTACCCTTGGGTACACCAGAAACTATAGCGGTGAGTTCGAATCCCGGTTCTCCCTGATCATGTTTCTATGTCTGTCAGCACAACACCTGTTCTCCTGGGTTTCACCAAAGTAATACACGCATAAGACCAGCAACTCGTGAAGATCCGGGTTTGAATTGATCTCCAGTAAACCATGCTTATCGTAAGCTGCAGCTAGCGTAATCGGGTCGTCAGGCTCGCTGACACGTTGCACATGTCATCGTATCCCAGTTGCGTAGATCGATGCTCTATTTGTTGATCACTGGATTGTCTGGTCCAGACTCGATTATTTACAGACCGCCGCAATATAGCTGGAATATTGCTGAGTGCGGCGTTAAACAACAACCAACCAACCATCCGTCTATAAGACCAGCATCAGTTCCTCCGGGCTTCTCTCCTACACGAAGCTGAACCGATCTGATGAGGCTGGAATATTGGAAGACTGCAACAAACCAAACTCATACCCGTAGTCGCCCAACCCGCCAACATACACCATCAAAATACTCACTTTTCTGAATAATGTTCAAGCCCTGCCTACACTGATCCCCTGTGCAACAGACGTTGCAGCTGTCATGGGGGGCCGTATGCACCTCCACCGGTACAGTTGATGGTGCTCCGGTGATCTTGTTGGAATGTGCAGTACTGCAAGAAGGGAATTCATAGTATCTAGTCTACCGAGAAATTGATAGTTGTCTCTAATATTATTGGGTGTAGATCTTTCATTATTTGGGATTAAAAATTAACACTTTGTTCCTTGAGTGAGTGAGTGGGTGAGTTGAGTTTTACGCCGCACTCAGCAATATTTCAGCTGTATGACGGCGGTCAGTAAATACTCGAGTCTGGACCAGACAATCCAGTGATCAACACCATGAGCATCGATTTGGATCGATTGGATACGATGCAATTGGGATACGATGACACGTGTCAACCAAGTCAGCGAGCCTGACCACCCAATCCCGTTGTTTCTTGAAAAAATATATAGATAAATTGTGCTGGGGTCTTTTATATCTTATTTGGATGGGACTGAACTAAACCTGCACTTGCCTTTGAGTGGGAGCACCCCGCAGTAACATGCCAATCCTTCATCGTCACCTTGCATACCTACAACAGAGGAATAATGGCTTCTTACACTTAACAAAACGCGTGTATCTGTATCGTCATGGCGCTCTCAGTCTGCAAGAGCACACTGGCATTACAATATATACATCTGAGTTGATTGGAAAGTTAGACTGACTGACTGACTGAGTTTGGTTTTACGTCTCTTTTAGCAATATTCCAGCAACATCAGGGCGGGGGACACAAGAAATGGGCTTCACACATTGTACCCATGTGGGGATTCGAACCCGGGTCTTCGGTGTGACGAGCCAACGCTTTAACCATTAGGCTACCCCACCGCCAGTTGGAAAGTTAGAAAACTGGCACTGACGAATTGTTAATGTTAACACCGATATCGTATTTCATTTGTGTTTGGTTGTAAAAACGACATGAACTGAATACACACCTCGACATGTATGTGACTCCTGTCTCACCTACCATTTGCCAGTACCATCGCCGGGTACCTTGCATATCGGTACCCAGTACCGTCAAGGGGTACCTGCCATGTCGCAGTTCCCTCACGGAGTAAATACTATGACCCAGTGCCCTCACTGGGTACCTGTCATACCCCACTACAGTCAGGGGAAACCTAACATGCCCCAGTACCATCATGGGGTATGTACCATGTGTCAGTACCATTCGGGGTGCCATGTCCCAGTACCGTCCTGGGATACCTACTATGTATCAGTACCGTCCTAGGTACTAGTTGAACATTGATAACTCAGTGTCAACAGTATATCAAAATGAGAACAATGATATAATTAAATTGCTATTTACATCGTAAGATCTTTTGCAGACACTTTTCCGACCCAGGCACTCTTTGGCGCTCGCTGCATCCTTGCAGACTGGACACGTCACACCTGGCTGACCGCTGGGCTCAACTGACCACGGTAAACACAAATGTCAGCAATCCATTCGTCAGGTTTGTACGACAGACATATACAAATATCTCACCTTGAATCCTACAGTTTCCAGATGCATTCAAATATGAATGAAAGTACACGATATGAAGCAGATCGTTTAAAAAACTTCTTGAAGCTGAGAAATAACCTTTCGTAACGACGTCTGGAACATTCCATGTCAGATTTAGACTGGGTTTGTCAGAGTTTATTGTGAAAGGTATCAATGTAAATGAGGCATAGAGAATGAAATCCACGTTAATTTTAAGGTGAGGTGAGGTGAAATTGGGTTTAACGTCGTGCTTGAGAATATTTCGCTCACATGACGACGTGCATGCGTGTGTATGTGTATGTGCGGCTGCTTGTACTAGCCCAGACTGAAGCTGGTTTTATAGTGCTAGCCCACTGAGATACCATGCCGCAGTGAAGCATGGATACCCCACACAGACATATTATACTGACTCCGAGCCGACCAGTCCTTGTTGTACCCATTAATGCCGAGCGCCAGGCAGGGACCAACAAGTACCATATTTTAAAGTCTTTTGGTATGACGCAGTCGGGGATCGAACCCGCGATCTTCCGCTCTCCGGGCGGACGCTCTAACCACTACACCACGGAGGCGGTCCTAATTTTAAGAAGTCAACATGTACCCAATACGTATTCAAGTAAACAACCAGAAAATTGCATTTACATATCTTACGACCCCTGGATACGGATATTTTCCGATATATTGTACTTATTTAAAGCATGCAATAATCAAGAAAAACGTCATGAAACATATAGTACATCCACACTGATGCAATACTGCATGTGACATCTAGTTGCGTAAGTTGTATATTGTGCTCATGATGTAACTTGTGTATGTGGGCCGGTGGGCTAAAATACAGCATACATTATCTCGTGACAGTTGTATCATCTTAAGAGAAGGAGCAAAGAATTAGGGTACTTCGCTTTTACCAGTATTCCTGACTTACTCACTCACTCACTTACTCACTCACTTACTGACTGACTCATTCACTCACTCACTCACTCACTCACTTACTTACTCACTCACTCACTACTTACTTGACTCATTCACTCACTTACTCACTCACTCACTTACTCACTCATTTACTTACTTACTTACTTACTGACTCACTCACTCACTTACTCACTCACTTACTTACTCACTCACTCACTCACTCACTCACTCACTTACTCACTCACTCACTTACTCACTCACTTACTTACTGACTCACTCACTCACTTACTCACTCACTTACTTACTCACTCACTCACTTACTCACTCACTCACTTACTCACTCACTCACTCACTTACTCACTCACTCACTTACTCACTCACTTACTTACTGACTCATTCACTCACTTACTCACTCACTCACTTACTCACTCACTCACTTACTGACTGACTCATTCACTCACTCACTCACTCACTCACTCACTCACTTACTTACTCACTCACTCACTCACTTACTTACTGACTCATTCACTCACTTACTCACTCACTCACTTACTCACCATTTACTTACTTACTTACTTACTTACTGACTCACTCACTCACTTACTCACTCACTTACTTACTCACTCACTCACTCACTCACTCACTCACTTACTCACTCACTCACTTACTCACTCACTTACTTACTGACTCACTGACTCACTCACTCACTTACTCACTCACTCATTTACTTACTTACTTACTTACTTACCGACTCATTCACTCACTCACTTACTCACTCACTTACTTACTGACTCACTCACTCACTCACTCACTCACTTACTCACTCACTCACTCACTCACTCCTTACTCACTCACTTTACTTACTGACTCACTCACTCACCTCCTCACCACCACTTACTTACTCCTTACTTACTCACTCCTCCCACACTCACTCCTCCACTCACTCACCTCACTCACTCACTTACTTACTGACTGACTCACTCACTCACTCACTTACTCACTCACTCACTCACTTACCGACTCATTCACTCACTTACTCACTCACTCACTCACTTACTTACTCACTCACTCACTTACTCACTCACTCACTCACTTACTCACTCACTCACTCACTCACTCACTCACTTACTTACTTACTCACTTATTATTAATTTCCTTGATACACATTGAGTCATCGATAGTTTAGATAGTGTCAATAACACTTCTGAGGTGATAATCGAATTTGAGTAAAGACTTTCAACAACATGACAGTGGCGTGTCCATGGTATGGTATTCTTAACAATTATCTTTTTATGACTGACATCCGTAAACCCTGATGCCAACACTTTCTGCGTGAAGATGAGGACAGTGTCAGGTGAACCGCCTAATCAGACAATTGAAATTCTCGATACGACCGAGTTAAACATTCACGCAAGCATATCTTGTCTCGAAAACAACTCGACTCCCGACTGTAAACACATAAACCCATGATTAAGAATCTGTCATACTACCTGTTTCGAATCCCTACTGGCAAGTGATCTACTCCAAATATATATCGATATATATATATTTATTTTCTGACTGTTTCGGTTTTGCTGAGATTAACATTACTAAAATCGAGTTGAAAAAAAGAAATGAAGTCGAATCGATTCAGAAAGTTAAAATCTGATTGGTTCAAGAAGCCACACCTCATTGGAGATCAATATTCGCTCAGGATTCCAACCTGGAAGTGCCTTCATATCTTCAGAACGGTAGGTTCCGTTTCAGAGAGAACAAATCTCGGTGAGAAGCAAACATACATCGCCTACACTCACCTGTTGATTCGGTGACCCCAGGTGAGGTGGCTGGTGACGTCATGTCAGTCCCCGCTACAACAGAAGCGTCAACACTGTGTACATTATGAATATCTGAGGATTGTCACGTTAGTAATCTGCATCATTATTAAAATGCACTGAACAATTTATAATCCCTTCGCTCTAAAACAAATAGAATGTCGTGTGTTGTTGTGGTGGATCACCCACCTACTACATAAACTGATAAACTATCGGACAAAAATGAATATATTTGCAACAATTACAAACCTAATACCGCTACAAACAGTCGCCTGCTGTGGGATAGTCATTAACAGGACGAACGTAACACCGGGTGTTCTGTTTTTCCAGAAGGTGATACACTAACATGGTGTGGAGTTATAATATGCATCATGGGCGGATCCAGGAATTTTAAAAAGGAGGGGGTTCAGGGGGTTCGAACCCCCTGAATCCCTCATTGGCTCCGCCAACGCAAAAAACAATTTTCAATGTGATCTTAAGTCATTTTCAAAAAGGGGGGGGGGGGGGGTCGAACCCCTGAACCCTCCCCTCTGGATCCGCCACTGTGCATCATCTTATATAACCAAGGTTACCAGACATATGCATTCAATCATTTTGTCAGGGTGATGCAATCATTGACGGGATCATACACAGTCACATTCAAATCCCAGAAGTATGAGGGTAAATGTCTAAACTGCAGTTTATCTGGAATAAAGGAGTTTGTGGAGATCACAGTCACCAACATGGACGCCGACGTAAAGTGGAATATAGCGAATACACGTGTGGGGGAAGTAGGTCAAACATGTAGTCGGAATTTAAGCCAGGTTAATAGTGCATGTTACATGACAGGGGAAACCTAACCATCACACGAAATGCATCTTACTAAACAGTACGAAGCTCACTTTATACTTGTTGCATGTTAGGAAGCTCACCTGTATACAAACTGCATGTTAGGAAGCTCACCTGTATACAAGCTGCATGTTAAGAAGCTCACCTGTATACAAACTGCATGTTAGGAGGCTCACCTGTATACAAACTGCATGTTAGGAAGCTCACCTGTATACAAGCTGCATGCTAAGAAGCTCACCTGTATACAAACTGCATGTAAGGAAGCTCACCTGTATACAAGCTGCATGTTAGGAAGCTCACCTGTATACAAGCTCCATGTTAGGAAGCTCACCTGTATACAAACTGCATGTTAGGAAGCTCACCTGTATATAAGCTGCATGTTAGGAAGCTCACCTGTATACAAGCTGCATGTTAGGAAGCTCACCTGTATACAAACTGCATGTTAGGAAGCTCACCTGTATACAAGCTGCATGTTAGGAAGCTCACCTGTATACAAGCTGTATGTTAGGAAGCTCACCTGTATACAAACTGCATGTTAGGAAGCTCACCTGTATACAAGCTGCATGTTAGGAAGCTCACCTGTATACAAACTGCATGTTAGGAAGCTCACCTGTATACAAGCTGCATGTTAGGAAGCTCACCTTCACACAAGCCGCATGTCAAGGGACAGAACAACAGAGCCAGGTCCGGATCAGGGCAAGTGCTCGCTACGTTCAGCACACAGGGGTACAGGGTAGAGTCTTTACACTTTTCTTTCGGGATGTGTGTGGTGATGGCTGTGGTAGTCGCAACTGTCAATAGAATCATCCAATAACCAGTCGGTTAAACGAGCGAAATTCGGATAGCCATGCATGCATCTGGGTTCTGTCTCACCCTTGTTTATGTGTAAAATTACAACATTCTATATAATAATTGTTTGATCGGCATTCTAGAAGTTGGCGCGTCAACAATGAAACTTCTTGTTTATTGCGTAGATTCTTACACCGTTATCAAGCGACCGTTATCAGTCGACGACTGTTTTAAATGTCCTGTAATTCTAATTGGGCTCAAAGACGAAGTAATGGCAGCGATTGGGCCCATACTAGTCCTTGCAAAATGGAATATAATACTCATACAAGTAGTACTTCTGGAGTGGATTTCACAGAGCGTTCTTGGCCCTATTACTGTCACAGTACTTCCATACGGCACCGACGGAAATACCTCAGCCGTGATGTGGCCGGGGTATGGCAAAGGTACGCGTAACGTAAAGGAGAGGAGATGGATCATTTGTCAAATGCTTGGTTTTAGCGGCGAATGATGTCTCCAAGGCTTGCCATGATGCGGCGGTCTTCAAGATGCGTCAACACCATACCGACACTCACTGGTTTCTTTAAACTGGAAGGGGTGTGTGGGTGTGTGTGTGTGTGTGTGTGTGTGTGTTTAGCCTGGTGGTTACAGCGTTTGCTCGTCACGCCGAAGACCTGGGTTCGTTACAACGTGTGAAGCCCATTCCTGGTGTTCCTCGCCGTGATAGTGCTAGACTATTGCTAAGAGCGGCGTAAAACCATACTCACTCACTCAGCCACTACACGGGTGAATGTGGAGGGCAAGCATCACTGTGGGCGTCCCTCCACAACATGTGGACACACCGTGCTATAACTGACAGAATGTACAGCTGTTAACCAACCCTCACTCACTGTAGTTTTGGGCTGGTCTTACACATCGCGAAATGGCTGAAACTGTGGAAGACAAACCAAAAGTAATTTACCTTTGCAGACCCCACAGGTTAGAGGGCAAAATTCACTGGCAAATGTGGCATCGGTGCATGCAGTTCCAGTTGCGGAAATATGGCACGGGAACAGGTCCTTGTCTTTGCATGGTTTGGCTGGTGTTGGCGACAACGATGGCATTGCTTGTGTCGATGGTGCTTGTGGAAGGGGCGTGGCATCTAAGCTTAATGTACGATTGATACAGGCGTAGTCATGGCAACAGGTTGTACATTTCCCCGTGTCGTGGTCGCAGTCTGTCACGCCGTGAAGGCACTAAACACACAGAAACTCATCATTGAGGTTAATATAGAAAAATACAGACGCTGAATGAATTAAGAGAATACAGACTTTTAAATATATGTAGTTCCTCAGATACGATGCCCCGTAAATAATCGACCCATGTCAAGACAAACCAGTGATCTATATTGTGAGCGACGTACGCCGTCGGAGTGTAATCACAGACACTCGTCAAGGCCTGAACATAACCATCCAATAAATGCTGTCGCTCTCAGACCAGCTTACGCCCGGGTACCCAGGGCCGGGAAGTACCATGAAGCATAAGAAACTAGAAAAGGTGGTTTCAGAAATCTACAGAATATTTAACTGCTTACATGTTGACTGCTCTCACATTTTGCAGAAAACAATCCATGTTCCAGGACTAGTTCGCACGTCTGAAATTGTAAATAATAAGGAATTATTTCACCGTTCAAATTAAATACAACATGCTGTCTCATTATTCGGAAAACAGTTTGTTTTCGCCAGCTCGCCAGCTCGCCAGCTCGCCCCTAAACTCCCATCTCCAATTGAGTGTGGACAGTATGTTCCCTAATGGACGACACTACACCAAGCATCAAAAGCTTGTCTGTACGACGGGGTGTAACAACCGATGAAAGTCGTCCTAGTAGGGTATTACAGTAGCCAGAAAAGGAGAAATATTATTTATTTATTTTCTACCGCGCATGCGCAAAATGAAAATATTTTGAGTGCCTCTATTTCCTAAAATGTTCACTATGCATCAGTCTATACATGTGCAAAGTTTCATGCTTTTATCATTAAATGCACATTTTATCTGCTTAGCCGCTCCACAACTAGATCATTGTGAGGTTAGCTTGCCCTTGGTAAAAACTCCACACCTGATAAGAGACAGTCACTTTCTCCGATACCGTATGTATGAGGTGATCAACTCACCCCATGATGACTGTCGCATGGTCCAAATGTTTCCAGACATGTCTGAGGATCTGCTTCCTTGTGACAGGTGGGACAATGGAGGACTTGAGGAATAGCGTCGAAACCTGAAAAAGAAACACATCTCAACAATCGCCTCAAACCAAAAGCTATTTCCTGGATTGCTAGGATAGTGGGAAACCACGCATGTATACCTCGACAGCATGTATACCTCGACAGCATGTATACCTCGACAGCATGATCTGAATAGTATTCTTATAAAACCATTATTAACAACACATTGTATTAGTGCTTCTGATTGTTTTGCGCCAAATCCGAGACTATTTACTTTTTACCAGTGATTCTGGAACGATGTATTCAACCCAAATTAAGAACGTTAAAAGGTGAGTTTTAAATGACTAAAACAGTTAAAGGAAGGGATCACCTTTTTGAATTTGCGTCAGTGAGGTGCGACAGTCGTCTCCGGTGCAACAGACGCTACAACTGTCTGAAGGGCCGAACGCGCCCCCGTCGGTGCAGTTGGTGGTGGAGCGGCTGCCGGCAGCACTGCATTCCTGGGACGGAGAAAAACACCAGTTAACAAGGGTCATATCCTTGCAGAGAATACACCGGTTAACAAGGGTCGTATCCTTGCAGAGAATACACCGGTTAACAAGGGTCGTATCCTTGCAGAGAATACACCGGTTAACAAGGGTCATATCCTTGCCGAGAATACACCGGTTAACAAGGGTCGTATCCTTGCAGAGAATACATCCGTTAACAAGGGTCATATCCTTGCAGAGAATACACCGGTTAACAAGGGTCATATCCTTGCAGAGAATACCCCGGTTAACAAGGGTCATATCCTTGCAGAGAATACACCCGTTAACAAGGGTCATATCCTTGCAGAGAATACACCCGTGAACTTGGGTCATATCCTTGCAGAGAATACATCGGTTAACAAGGGTCATATCCTTGCAGAGAATACACCCGTTAACAAGGGTCATATCCCAGCAGTGTACAACTGCACGTTATGCTATGATTTTAAAATGGGTTTAGTACACTATTTCTTTCATTTTCCGACACTCGAATAGTTTATCTTTGCCTACATGTCGGAGATGATGATCAATCTGCACCTGCCCACAAACATGCATAACGCAATAGCGTTACATCGCACTCCAAAACGCACCACATAACACTGCAAAACGCGTTACGTAAGACTACAAAAAGCCATACGTAACACTGCAAAACGCGTTAGATAACACTGCAAAACGCATTACATAACACTGCAAAACACACTACATAACACTGCAAAACACATTACATAACACTGGAAAGCGCGTTACTTAAGACTACAAAACGCGATACGTATCACTACAAAACGCGATACGCAACACTGCAAAACGCAAAACGTAACACTGCAAAACGCGATACGTAACACTGCAAAACGCATTACAGAACACTGCAAAACGCATTGCATAACACTACAAAGCGTGTTTGATAACACTGTAAAACGCATTACATAACACTGCAAACCTCATTACATAATACTGCAAAACGCGTTACGTAGCACTAGAAAACGCGATACGTAACACTGCAAAGCGCGTTAAATAACACTGTAAAACGCATTGTATAACAATACAAAGCGCGTTAGATAACACTGCGAAACGCATTACATAACACTGCAAAACGCGATACGTAACACTGCAAAACGCATTACATAACACTGGAATGTGTGTTAGATAACACGGCAAAACCACATTACATAACACTGCAAAACGCATTAGATAGCACTGCAAAGCGTTAGATAACACGGCAAAACCACATTACATAACACTGCAAAACGCATTAGATAACACTGCAAAGCGTTAGATAACACGGCAAAACCACATTACATAACACTGCAAAATGCATCACATGACACTGCAAAACGCGTTAGATAACACTGCAAAATGAGTTACAGAACGCTGTCTGAAGGTGCAAACACACCACTTCGTGACTCTCTATGGAAAGCTTAAATCACCCTGCAAGGTTAAGGGCCACGCTGTTGTTACATGGGTAAAAACCTTGCTTGTTTAACACAGGCCTAGTTACACGAACAACGAATCACATTGTGACGTAAATATCGGTTTGTAGGACACCTGTTACTCTAAGTCTGAAAGCCCTAGGTATCACGTGATGAATTCATCATATAAAGTTAAGAAGGTTTCATTGCTAATACATACCAACTGATCTTTGCACCCTGCTTTGATGTGCCATTTAGAAACGGATATCTCGCAAACCTGAAACAAAGAAGGTTATTTTGGGGAAAGTTCTTCAAAGTTATGGCTGATAGTTAAAGGTGAGTAAAATATTCATGAGTTTCATAACACGGCCATATTGCTGCTGTTGGAATGATTCCCCGCAGTTCAGGAGGACATTGAGGAAGAGTGTTCCATCTAGCATAGACACCGAATAATGAATACTGAACAAATAATTGAAAAATATTCAAACTTGGAGTAAATACCAAATATTTGAGTGATTTCTCAATGTCACCGGTGCGAAACATGTCTGTGGTGATTACATTGGGCCGGAGCTAAATTCCTCAATTATATTGCACTATAATGAAATTGCCCAGCTGCGATCACACTTTTCAGTTCACGATGAGTCCACAAGAAGGTAGTGTCCCATTTTGACAGCGTCTTGGTCACTGATCCGTTAAGATGTAAAGTTTCGCTGTCAAAACTGGGACTAACAGAATGACCACTGTCAAAACTGGGATAACTAGCTGTACCAATTAAGGGTAATCATGTGAATGCAATCAAATGAGAGAAGTACAGAACAAGTAACATTCCTGAACACTAATACCGCTTTGGGATGATAATAGTTATTGGTTTTTTACCCTATTAAAGACTCGGGCAGCCAAACACTATCTGACATTTGAACCCGCTACAGTTTGAGTTTGAGTATACGTCACATCGGCATTATTCCAGCCATATAGTGACCAGATCAAATCTGCATTCATAAACATTTTAAATACAAAGTGAGTTTTAATTTAAAAAACACATATATACATTACATTGTTATATAAAACACTCATCATGGAATGGACTTCGAAACAGCTGTTCATAATGTTGTTGGAGATGTGCCGACATGTTTTCCCCAGTAATATCGTGAAGAACTGTCTTTTTTATTTTGGCCAAGCTCTTTACCGGAATAATTGTTTCTTTCAACAAAAACCCAAACCATCCAATAAAATAAAATGATAGGGCTCTAAGCAGAATACAGACTTAACGGAACAAAGCTGACATAACGGCGGAATCGTAAACTCATTAAAGGGTCACTGATCCAGAGCGATTAATGTTTCGCGCCAACAATCTAATCACGTCAGGTGGTGGGACACGGGGACTGGGCAGAATTTCTTCAACCTAGACAATGGAGTAATAAGAACGGTGGATGCCCATCAGATGCCGTTATTTGAAATTATCCTGGTAGTTCTTGTCTGATTGTAATTAATCTGCTTTTTCAGAATTTGTGATGCGTGGATGGTATGATGACCAATCCAATTTGATCCTATTTAATTGCTCCAACCAGAGTCTTCACTAATTCCACTATAAAATGTTTAGTAGTCCATTCATATCTAACAAATATATAATATTATGCATTCCATAGGAAACTAATATTAATACATCCTCACGGTCACTATTAATGTTATGCTTACTTCTATATTGACCAAGGTTTTTAAGAAAAATGAAACGTCAGTGTAAAGAATGCAGATATATAACATTTTCTTAACATATTTACCTCGTTGCTATGGTGGCAGGTTTTCGTTGATGCGAGGCAATCGTGTATGTTGCTGGCATCGTGACAGGAAGGACATTGAATAAGCTGTGGTGCTGAAAAAAGGTGTCCAAGTTGGCAGAGAATCAGTGGAGATATCTGCCTTGGTGCTATTTAGTCATTTAAAGTTTAAACGACAAACATCTTTTCTATAGGACAAGAGGCCGTCAGGTCATGCTAAACTTACGTTCGAAACTGAGCCATACTACCATAATTTTGACTGAGAAATTCCACCTGGAGTCATGATAACTGAGAGCCGCTTAGTAATGGTGAGTGAGTGAGTGAGTGGAGGTTGCCAATATCCTTTCAATAGGTCAAACTTGCTAATGTACTTAGGCGGACCGATTCTGTCATCGATTCATTCTTGGTATGGGTGAGAGTGAGTTTCAGAATCAGTGTTCACCAGCCTCATGTCTGTACCACATCTGAAACTACCGTCAGGTTTTTTCTAACGATCATCAGGGTGTTACAGATGCATTTTCTGCAAAACAAGATATCCGAATTCCCCCACCACACACTGCATATAATCTTCACCAGAGCATACTGCCTCAAACGATCAAAACCACTACTGACATTCAATAAACCAGTTTTCTTACATTGCAAACAAATGTAGAACCATCCCTTTGTTTAGCAGAGCTAATCTTTGCCTATAAGATTCTGCTACCAATTCACAAGCCTTCAAAAGAAATATTCCAACGAATAATACTTATTCTTATTCTACCGTCTGGAAAAGAACATGTGAGTTACAAGATGATGATGCATTATGTCGAAATATTGTACCCGAAGATGAAAACCACATTTAACTGTATTATACAGTGCTATAAGGGACGCGTTAATCAAAGAAAGGTACAGCAAGATGTATAACAACATTATATCTATTAGTTCAATATCTGATTCATTCTCATAATGTTTGCTTATTATTTCATATATATCGAGGGAACCAAACAAGGTAACACCACTTCATGGCAGTGTTCCTTTATCTAATCTCAGATTCCCTCCACAGTGCTATTCAAAACTGGCGATGAAAACTGGAAACAGGGAAAATATTAAAGGAACGTTTGAATCTTCCTGTGTTCCTTTATTTGTTTCTCTCAGTATATGTCTGTACAATACAGGAAGAATTGTAAACGTTTTGTAACTCTTGACACTAGACATCTCTCCTTACTTTGATTTTACCAAGGGTCTATTACACTTGAACTACGAAACAGTACTTGTCTGTCTGCTTGTTGCTAAACTTACGTCTAGTTGCTGTCGTTGTGGTCGCAGCCATCGTTGCAGCAGGTGTAGCAGACACTGCTGAAACACACGCACAGGAATACCACACGCTGCCAAATGAAACTGTTTCAAGGTGGATTTGAGCAGATTTTTAGTTCAAATTCAGCATCTTCTGGGAGGAAAATCCAAAGACGTCTTAGGCGTTCCTACATTAATGGAAGCCACCTGCCCGTTTAGGGTGCTGACATACCATGTGACATCATCATATGATATCACCAAATAAATATATGCTCACAAAGATATTCCATTTGTAAACTAACAAAACGACAATGGGTGAGTATTGGTAACATCTAAAAGTACACTTTCGGAACGATCTTGTACCTTGGCACACGCCGCAAGAAAGGGGGCAGAAGTTGATGGAGATGTCGGGGTCAGTGCACGCGGCACCTACTGCAGTATGACACGGGAACAAAGTGTCGTCTCGACACGTCGACATCGGCGGAGCCGTCAATGGATTGTTGGAAGCCGCTGCTGCTGTGGTGGTGCTGCTGGTAGAAGAGTTATCTCCCCCTGGCACAATCCCCGGGGTGATAAAGGGCGAGGTCGGAGGTACCCCTAGAACGTAGTCGATGCAGGAGAAGTCGTTGCAGCACACGCTGCATGGGCGGGGGTCGTGCAGGCAGTCAGGGATGCCGGGATGCAGCTTGTGGTCGTGCACACACTGAAACAGATCACGTGGCAACACAGGACCCCAATCAGAACACAGTATTAGATGGGAACATGAAGTTAGAAACGGATTTGGGATTGGGGATTGGGGATGACTCGAACCAGACTCAGACCAGTGGAATCTGAATGGTTTTGACACATGTCACCGACTCGCCTGACCATAGAACATTCCAATCACGACTCGCCCGACCATAGAACAATCCATCTCAATATTTTTTCACATTCGGACCATAGAACATTCCATGTCACCGACTCGCCTGACCATAGAACATTCCATGTCATTCGCCCGACCATAGAACATTCCATGTCACAGACTCGCCATGGGGACCATTCGAATCCCGAATGTGAATAAACATTCAGATCGCCTGACCACAGATTCCATGAATCGCCCGAATAGAACATTCCATCTCACAGCCTGACCATCACCGACTCGCCCGAATAGAACAATCCATCTCACAGACTCGCCTGACCATCCCAACTCGCCTGACCATAGAACAATGTCCGACTCGCCTGACCAACTTCATGTTGCCTGTATTTCCATATCGCTTTAACATAGTAAGACTCGCCTGACCATAGAACATTCCATGTCACAGACTCGCCTGACCAAACCCATGTAGTCTTAGAACATTCCAGTCACAGACTCGTCATAGAACATTCCATGTCACAGACTCGCCTGACCATAGAACAGTCCATGTCACAGACTCGCCTGACCATGAACATCCATGTCACAGACTCGCCTCCATAGAACGATGTCACAGCCTGGAACATTCCATGTCATATAACATTCCATGTCACCGACTCGCCTGACCATAGAACATTCCATGTCACAGACTCGCCTGACCATTTCCATGTCATATAGAACATTCCATGTCACCAACTCGCCTGACCATATCGCCTGACCATTCATTCCATGTCACCTGACCATAGAACATTTCATGTCACCGACTCGCCTGACCATAGAACATTCCATGTCACACGACTCGCCTGACAGACTCGCTCTGACCATAGAACATTCCATGTCACACTCGACTCGTTCCCTGACCATAGAACATTCCATGTCACAGACTCGCCTGACCATAGAACATTCCATGTCACAGACTCGCCTGACCATAGAACATTCCATGTCACAGACTCGCCTGACCATAGAACATTCCATGTCACAGACTCGCCTGACCATAGAACAATCCATGTCACAGACTCGCCTGACCATAGAACATTCCATGTCACAGACTCGCCTGACCATAGAACACCTGTCTTACCACAATACACACATTATGACTCGCCTCCATAGAACATACCATGTCACCGGAATGCTAATAGAGGTCGGTCGAGACCATAGAACATTCCATATATATACTCGCCTGACATAGAATAACCAGACATGACCATCACCTAACGATAAGACCATAACGTCCCATGAGATTTGTGTAATAGTGTAATTAATAAACAAGATGAGATTAGTAATAGTGAAATAAACAAGACATTGAGAAAGAAACACCTATTGCCGCGAATAAAGTTAGATATTCATACAATGATAGAAATGATATAAATTGGATTAGAAAAGTATTTCTTTCAAGTCTGTTACTTGCACTAACATTTGATCTTATGGTCCTGCTTACTGCTTTTATCGTGCTGTTTTCTTTGGGGAAGCTTAGTGGTTGCTCTTACCGTGCTCATCACGCCGATCCCGGGTTTACTGTTCTTATCGTCTTGCTTCATGCAATTTGTAAAGCCCATTTCTGGTGTCCCCGCCGTGATATCGCTGGAATACTGCTAAAGCGGCGTTTAACCATACTCAGCTAGTCAGTCTTATCGTGCTGTTTACTTTCCTGAAGTCTTGCGTACTGCTCTTATCGTGTTGTTTACTGTTATCCTCTTTGTTTACTGTTCTTATCGTCCTGCTTCCTGCTCTTATCGTGTTGTTTACTGCACTTATCGTGTTGTTTACAGCTCTTAATGAGTATTGTTTACTGCTATCGTCCCACTTGTTTACTTCTCATCGTGTTGTTTACTGCTCTAATCGTCCTGCTTCTTGCTCACATCGTGTTGTTTATTGCTATTATGGTGTTCTTTACTGCTCGTATCGCGTTGTTTACTGCTCGTATCGCGTTGTTTACTGCTCTAATCGCCCTGCTTCTTGCTCATATCGTGTTGTTTATTGCTCTTCTGGTGTTCTTTACTGATCCTGTCTTGTTTGTCTTATTTGCTGTCCTTACCGTGCTGGTTACTGCACAACTGGAAGTGTACTTCCCCCTCAACTTGATTATTTCACATGTCTGTAAGAAGAAACGTAACAAGTCACAGAAGGCCTCCTGCCCATATACAAGAGACAGTTAAATAGCTAAATATATAACCATAAGTGTTACATACAAGTCACAGGAGGCCTCCTGCCCATATACAAGAGACAGTTAAATAGCTAAATATATAACCATAAGTGTTACATACAAGTCACAGGAGGCCTCCTGCCCATATACAAGAGACAGTTAAATAGCTAAATATATAACCATACGTGTTACATACAAGTCACAGGAGGCCTCCTGCCCATATACAAGAGACAGTTAAATAGCTAAATATATAACCATAAGTGTTACATACAAGTCACAGGAGGCCTCCTGCCCATATACAAGAGAGACAGTTAAATAGCTAAATATATAACCATACGTGTTACATACAAGTCACAGGAGGCCTCCTGCCCATATACAAGAGACAGTTAAATAGCTAAACATATAATCAGAAGTGTTACATACAAGTCACAGGAGGCCTCCTGCCCATATACAAGAGACAGTTAAATAGCTAAACATATAATCATAAGTGTTACATACAAGTCACAGGAGGCCTCCTGCCCATATACAAGAGACAGTTAAATAGCTAAACATATAATCAGAAGTGTTACATACAAGTCACAGGAGGCCTCCTGCCCATATACAAGAGACAGTTAAATAGCTAAACATATAATCAGAAGTGTTACATACAAGTCACAGGAGGCCTCCTGCCCATATACAAGAGACAGTTAAATAGCTAAATATATAACCATACGTGTTACATACAAGTCACAGGAGGCCTCCTGCCCATATACAAGAGACAGTTAAATAGCTAAACATATAATCAGAAGTGTTACATACAAGTCACAGGAGGCCTCCTGCCCATATACAAGAGACAGTTAAATAGCTAAATATATAATCAGAAGTGTTACACACAGAGTTTAAATAGCTCAAATATTTTGGGCGAATGTTTAATACAATGTGAAAGGTTTAATGTATTAATTTCGTTCTTAAAATGAAAAATCCATTTATCAGAGGCATTGATATCAGACAATGTTTTCTTTATATATTTTTATCGAAATTCACTAAAAGAGACATTCATTTTCTATTTATATATTGCAGAGTTGACAGATTCGTTTCAAATTCTCAATGGATAGTTTTCTTCCTTGATTTACAAATCTCACTTGATCACGCTATCTGTAACCAATACTTCTAGGAGTATATACACACATTGGCGGCGCTATTTATAACCAATGAATCTACGGATTGTATGGTCCAGTACAGAAGGAACATTATCTGGCATTATCTGTACAGTACCAGGGAACTGGATTGGCACGGTTGTATATTATCTGTACAGTACCAGGGAACTGGATTGGCATGGTTGTATATTATCTGTACAGTACCAGGGAACCTGGATTGTCACGGTTATATATTATCTGTACAGGGTGGATTGTATTGTATATTATCACGGTTATATATTATCTGTACAGTACCAGGGAACTGGATTGGGGTTGTATATTATCTGTACAGTACCAGGGAACTGGATTGTTATCTGTACAGTACCAGGAACTGGATTGACAACTGGATTGGCACAGTACCAGGTTGTATATTATCTGTACAGGTGGTGTATATTATCTGTACAGTACCAGGGAACTGGATTGGCTGGGTTGTATATTATCTGTACAGTACCAGGGGTTGTAACTGGATTGGCAGGGTTGTATATTATCTGTACAGTACCAGGGAACTGGATTGGCAGGGTTGTATATTATCTGTACAGTACCAGGGAACTGGATTGGCAGGGTTGTATATTATCTGTACAGTACCAGGGAACTGGATTGGCAGGGTTGTATATTATCTGTACAGTACCAGGGAACTGGATTGGCAGGGTTGTATATTATCTGTACAGTACCAGGGAACTGGATTGGCAGGGTTGTATATTATCTGTACAGTACAGGGACCAGGGAACTGACAGTTGGCAGGCAGGTTGTATATTATCTGTACAGTACCAGGGAACTGGATTGGCAGGGTTGTATATTATCTGTACAGTACCAGGGAACTGGATTGGCAGGGTTGTATATTATCTGTACAGTACCAGGGAACTGGATTGGCAGGGTTGTATATTATCTGTACAGTACCAGGGAACTGGATTGGCAGGGTTGTATATTGTCCAGACATTTCTGGGGATCCGTCTCGTCACTGCAAACTGGGCAGTGTAGGACCTTTGGCACCAGATCCAGGCCTGAAACACGAGTGAGTGAGTGAGTGCTGGTACAAAGATAGGGAAAATCTTTAATCCATGAAACACAATTTTCCAGTGAATCATTACTTCAACATGTCAACATGTTTCAAGGCCATTGTGTCCTATGTTTCTCACCTGTAGGTGGTAGTAAGGGGACACAACCTAACTTTGATTGAGAATGATACTCTGTTGGATAAGTTATGACAACATTTCAGGTGTTCACATGTAGAGCACACATCTGCGCTGATAAATAGTTTTGTGTTATGAGTAAGCTTTCTTTAAGCTTTCAGTGTTAAGAGTTTAAACACCATATCTTACAGAATGGACCTTAAACATCAAAGCTTTGTTTCTATTGGGGGTTTGTTGTTCCCGCACTCATGATCCAGTACTAATCCAGCTATATGGGTCCGGTCTTAAATAACCGAACCTGGACCAGGCAATACGGTGACTGGCATCATTGGCACTGATCTCTGCAGTTGGTACAACATGCATTAATCAGGTCAGAGAGCCGTTAGTTCACGTGTCACATGGAATGTACAGTTATTTTCTTTTAAGTCTTTAAAAGAAACTGAGAGTGACCTTTCACCTTTCTGCACGTGTTCCAGCCGCTGGTTGCACGTGTCCCCAGTGCAGCACACAACGCATTTGTCGTTTGCCCCGAATGGCTTGGTGCCCCGACAATCCACGTTGGCTTGGAGAGCTTCATACGCGCACCTCTGAAACACAGCCATGAGTGAGTGTGTGATTGCGTGAGACAGTGAATGAGTTGCCTACACAAGTCAGCAACATTACATATATTTGAATACGGCCTGCAAATAATGAAGTCTGACATACACTATCAAATGACACATGCCACACATTCTGCTCAAACTGCCAGTTTCATCGGCTCTTAAGTCCAACAAGTGACCTGTTCTTCCATCACCGTTGAGGGTACGCCAGGATTGATACATACTACCCCATTCAGGTACATGTAGGAACAGGTCGACGTATATTGTGATGATTTCAGTTTGACTTCAGCTGTTATGATATTAAGATATTGGTATATACGTAACCTAGAGACCATGCGAGAACATTTTTTTTCTGTATTTCTGGACCAACAAAATATTACTAGGCTACAAAGCTCTTTCAAATTTTAAAACAAAGGTAAGTCGGTTGGTCAGACTCGTTTACTTGGTACGTAGGATATCATCATGACCCTAGGGCGTGCCTCATGATATTGATCACTGGTTTGTCTGGTCGCGGTGTGTATTCAGGCCATCGTCTCATAACGGATATATCGCCGAGTGCGACGTGGAACAAACAAGGTGCTTTAGCTTGCGTATTAAGAGACGGTACTAAGTGTATATAAATTTATATATAATTTGGAATTGTGTGTACAGCATTTTCCATGTTTGGAATCTATTTAATGTTATTTTCAGACTGGCCCACCTACCTTTTGAGTCCCGCACCCCATAGTGATCTTCCACTCGTCCACTATCCCGATACACTCCTGCAGGCAGAGAAGGACACAACCGGACGGGCCATCATTGAGAACTCAGAACTGACTTCCGCATTAGCATTTGATGAGTAATAGATAGAAAATAAGACAAATCCAGAAAATCATTTCGCTGAACCACCGTATAGTATGGCGACAGTTGTGAGAGACGACTTTGTAGACATCTCTAGACATTTAATATCGTTGGCCTTGTGACTTCCTGGTTTTAGTTAATATCGGCTACTTACGTTTTCAAAGTCACTGCAGGTTTCATTATGGCGCACACATTCATTGATGTTGCTTGCAAAACGACATTTCGGACACTCCAAACAATAGCCTGTGTAATGAAATGACAAGACAATAATTACATTTTACATATTCTGTCGAGTAAGAATGTGTATGTGAGTGAGCGAGTGAGTGAGTGAGTGAGCTAACAGGGTGTACGGCGCTTTTAGCAAATTTCAAACCGTATTTAAACATGTGTTTTCAGTATGACAAACCCAAAGAAGCTGCCATTCTTTCTATGAAGTAAGAGGGGCGGTTTGGTTGGCAGTCGCAGGACAATTACATCCTCCTGACTGACAAATATCCGAAAAAAAGACAAAACATTATTATTGACAAATGTCTTTAAATTAATCGTATTATGTGTTTGATGTCAAGACATAACAAGGTCAGTTCCAGAGTAACGAGGTTTCAGTGCACGGGGAAAGGGTACCTTTATTTAACAGCTGTGTGTATTTCAAACCATCCGCACCAGATAGTCATCAGTTTCGATTTTCCGAACAAAGCAGGGCACATCTGAACACACATGGTGAAGGGAAACTGGTAAACATGTCCTACACGACCGACTGCACTTGCCACTCACACAATGTGTTTCCCTTTCGTCACTCCCAGTCTCAATGCTTCCACATACAGGCGGTCTTTTACCAATCGTTTTCTAAGTCAGTAAGCCATGAAACCACTAGTAAGCCATGAAACCACCAATGAGCCATGGAACCACAGTAAGACACGGCACCACAAGTAAGCCATGGAACCAGCAGTAAGCCATGAAACCAGCAGTAAGCCATGGAACCACCAGTAAGCCATGGAACCAGCAGTAAGCCATGAAACCACCAGTAAGCCATGAAACCATCAGTAAGCCATGAAAACACTAGTAAGCCATGAAACCACTAGTAAGCCATGGAACCATGAGTAAGCCAAGAAACCAGCAGTAAGCCATGGAGCCACCAGTAAGCCATGGAACCACTAGTAAGCCATGGAACCAGCAGTAAGCCATGGAGCCACCAGTAAGTCATGGAACCACTAGTAAGCCATGAAACCACCAGTAAGACATAACACCACCAGCAAGTCACGGAACCACTAGTAAGCCATGGAATCACCAGTAAGCCATGAAACCACCAGTAAGCCATGAAACCACCAGTAAGCCATGGCACCACCAGAAAGCCATGAAACCACCCATGAACCACCAGTAAGCCATGAAACTACCAGTAAGCCATGAAACCACCAGTAAGCCATGAAACCACCAGTAAGCCATGAAACCACCAGTAAGCCATGAAACCACCAGTAAGTCATGAAACCACCAGTAAGCCATGACACCACCAGTAAGTCACGGAACCACCAGTAAGCCACGAAACCACCAGTAAGCCACGAAACCACCAGTAAGCCATTAAACCATGATTATGAATTTGTCAGTAATACACGACTCTCTCAGCAGGCTTAATATAATCATTTCGGCGTGACAGCCGGTCCTGACACCATCCCCAGGCCAGGATATCATCATTAAGGCGTGACAGCCGGTCCTGACACCATCCCCACGCCAGGATATCATCATTAAGGCATGACAGCCGGTCCTGACACCATCCCCAGGCCAGGATATCAACATTAAGGCGTGACAGCCGGTCCTGACACCATCCCCAGGCCAGGATATCATCATTAAGGCGTGACAGCCGGTCCTGACACCATCCCCAGGCCAGGATATCATCATTAAGGCGTGACAGCCGGTCCTGACACCATCCCCAGGCCAGGATATCAACATTAAGGCATGACAGCCGGTCCTGACACCATCCCCAGGCCAGGATATCAACATTAAGGCATGACAGCCGGTCCTGACACCATCCCCAGGCCAGGATATCATGATTAAGGCGTGACAGCCGGTCCTGACACCATCCCCAGGCCAGGATATCATCATTAAGGCGTGACAGCCGGTCCTGACACCATCCCCAGGCCAGGATATCAACATTAAGGCGTGACAGCCGGTCCTGACACCATCCCCAGGCCAGGATATCATCATTAAGGCGTGACAGCCGGTCCTGACACCATCCCCAGGCCAGGATATCATCATTAAGGCGTGACAGCCGGTCCTGACACCATCCCCAGGCCAGGATATCATCATTAAGGCATGACAGCCGGTCCTGACACCATCCCCAGGCCAGGATATCATCATTAAGGCGTGACAGCCGGTCCTGACACCATCCCCAGGCCAGGATATCATCATTAAGGCGTGACAGCCGGTCCTGACACCATCCCCAGGCCAGGATATCATCATTAAGGCGTGACAGCCGGTCCTGACACCATCCCCAGGCCAGGATATCATCATTAAGGCATGACATCAGAAAATCATCATGCTATCAATCATGACATCAATCATGACATCTTAATAATTCATGACAGAGAGACATGACATTATCAATAACACATGAAAATATCAACAAGGCATGCCAATACCAGTAAGGCATGGCAATACCAATAAAGCATAAAATCCAATGTCGAAGCAACGCTATAATCTACTTTCCTTCTGAAACGAAAGACGGAATGTCCAATTTGGGAATATGCAAAACTAACGCGAATGCCTGGTCATGTCCATCAGGTTGTCTTTCAACAGTAAATCGTCCTCACATTTCTGCGATTGGATTGCTCGCTCTCTTTCATCGGCCACACGTCATCATGCTGCGCCCTGAAGTAACAAAATAACACTACCAAAAAGAGACACCCTCTGTCGAACAGAAGGGCGTGTATTACACAGGGGCAACTTTATATTGCGTGGATTGGTTCTTCCTGGTGACTGGCTTGCCACAGAAACGTCTAAAACGGCGATATCTCAAAACCATTCAGACTCAGTATACTACGGCTCAAGAATACCACTGCACAATTAGATAGTACATGTGTACATAAAAAGGTCATTCGCCTCGTGACATGCTTTATACACTCGAACGTTCCCTCCTAATGTCATCACTGCTCTTGTGTAGCGTTATAGCGTAACTGACAGACCACGGTAAATCTCAAAAAGTAAACTCTGGTTGCCTCAATCCTACCCCATATTGGTAAACATGCTTTAATTGGCAGTGATTCTATTATCAGCTACGAAGCTCCATGTCAGTCTGTTTTAGAAGAAATGCCGTACTATGCCTCACATGATAATACACACCCAGGTCTTGCCACTCTAACCTGGTATTGTTCCTAAATACATAAATAGACGTCATGCCACTTAGATTGGTAGAGTGAGCTATTAGGCATGATGTGTTCAATCAGTAGGAGTCAGTCACTATGATAATAGTGTTCACTTCAATATGGTTAAATAGCTCTTAGGTCATTGTGTATGTATATATATAGAATGCAATTTTCTCCAACATGTTTCGTTCTTTACTCTTCAGGGAGATTCTATATGATATATTATATTATAAACAATAAAATGTCTATAGCCTATAGTACAGTTTGAAAATACATAGCCCCGTACTAATCAGGACATTCAACACATCTCCATATATACCCAAAACCATTTCATTAACTGTTTTCTTTATAGACGATACCCAGTTTACTTTACAGACACAGTCATGAGTATGTCTAAGGGTAATTGTAATAATCGCAACCAATATTTTACTGTGCATTAAAACACAGACGGAATCACCCTTCACCATAAAGACCCATTGCATTTGGAACATTGAGTTGAACTCCTAGAAATCGCTGTCATGCCTTTGTTGGTGCTGCCTCGGTAGTATTTAGCTTACTCATACCACATACCTCAGCATCATATCATAGACTCGGGTTAATTGTTCTATGGAACGTTAAATATAAAATGCATATCACCAACTGTGTTTCGATGTTTTTAGAATACCAAAGATTTTTTGTGTGTTTAATTTGTGTTAAATGAAAATGTCCAAGGCATTTTACTAGAGGTATAATTACCCAATTACATGTATTCTGTGGCTTCGTCTAGAACGTTATCTCTATAAACTATGTTTCCAGGTTTGAGTTTTGGTATTTTACCGCCATTTGTTGAAAAGACAATAAACCTTTATCCATGTTGACATCTAAACAAGGTTTTTCACGAAACTTAATTAATTTTACACTGGAAACCATTTAAAAATATAGTACTGTAAATCATTAAAATGTCACCAGTGTATAGCAACAGGAATGTTTTGTCTGTTTTGTAACTTTTGTATGTGTCTCAGTGTTCACGTGTTCATACATGGATTGGGTGGGAGGGGGAGAGGAGAGAGAGGGGGGGGAGCTCGTCATGCTGAAGACCCGGGTTCGATTCCCCACATGGGTACATTGTGTGAAGCCCTTTTCTGGCGTCCACACCGTGATATTGCTGTAATGTTGCTAAAAGTGGCGTAAAAACATGCTCACTCACTCACTCACTCATATATGGATGATCGTAACGTTTGTGCACGTAGCCACATGAACATACCATGTCGTACTGTATCGAACCCTTTACTAAAATAAACAAACATTGAGTACAACCTACCTCCCTCCATAGATAGACATCGTCGAATTAATGAATAAAATATGAACATATTATCAGTGGTACTATATCCCTCCCCAAAGCCAACATGCGATTCTGATATCTTATTAAACGAACCAGTGTTTTTATTACCAATATGAAAGTCGACTTGCTAAATATATCAACTAATGTAATTGTTCAATGATTATGAGGATCAATTAAGTGACGGGATGACCAACGGTTATATGTTGCATTTTTAAAAGTTGAATTCATCATCATCATCATCATCATCATCATCATCAACTTTACTTCCTCCATTTGGACAATATTGTGAAGATATTTACCAATTTGGACAGTATATGGACATTTACACGTTTTCAAAAAGAGATGTTAGTAATTAAAGAATGGGTTTGATTACGAACTGCAAAACATAGGAAAATATGTGTGATGTCATGAATGAATTTGAGTTCATATGTTTATGGCATCTGCATAATGCCTCTCACTGTTCATAATTGTGAACGGAATGCTCTCTTTGGTAGGTGGCCATGATTTTCATTACAAATGATGCACTTAGGTCATAGAATAGGTCACTGGAATTAGAGTCAGATATTGCATCACAGGGTCGTCCGATCAGGTGCTGAAGAGACTCGTCATCAATGCTACTTAAAGTCACTGTCAATTGAAGTGGGAATCTGTCTGTGATGACTGACCAGTTGTCATAGTCGTCCTTCAGATGGTCACATGACAACATCACGGTACCAAAGGTTATATGCTGCATTTTCAAAGTTGAATTAAGCATTATGTCTAAATAGGGTACAAAAATATCAGACACATATGTTTGAAAAGTTCCGGTCACTCGACACACGCGACCCGTGAACATATTCTACAACACCACTTGCATGTACCTTAATTTAGAATATATTCTTTAACACAACTTTCATGTAGATGTATAGTCAGTGTATGCTGCAATACCGCTTTCATCTACACGAATTTTTAACATATCCTTCAATACTACTTTCATGTAGATGTAAAAGATTTATTTATGTAATTCCTCAGCATATATGTCTATGTACCATGGGCTTGTGTCCTCTTCAGTGTGAAATACGGATTGATTGATCTGGATTGTAAGAATCTAGATTGACGGTCTCTGGACTGACGGGTTGTGGATCGTCAGGGTTTGGATTATCAACATCTGAACTAACAACACAACATAACAAAAGAATATTTGTCAGTTCCCACTAATGGCAGCGCTACCACCTGTGTCCAATGACACACAGTACCTGTTTCAGTGAGATGGACCCTTGAACACCACAGTTAGACAAACAGGTACTTACCCACACCGATGAATACAAATATAAAAAATACAGTGAATCCCATAGTGAACGGAATCAGAAAGGCAAATACGGCACGTGGACGATAGTCTTAAAGGTTAAATGGCCGTGGGAACGACCATATTTTGAAAGATAGCATTGAGAATTTTGGAGCTGACATACAGTGTATAAAACAGTGATATACCATCACCCGTCGTGCATTACAGTATTATAGTATCGTCCCCTGCACAAATTTAGTGATATATCAACAACACAACACAGTGATATACAACCACCCGTTCTATAAAACAGTGATACACCCTTGTCCCTTGTACAATACAGTGAGTATCCACCACTCCCTCGTTGTACAAAACAGTGACATACTCTCACATGTTGTACAATACAGTGACATATTCTCACATGTTGTAATACAGTGACATGCTCTCACGTGTTGTACAATGCTGTCATATATCCATATACAATACAGTGATATACCCTCGTGTGTTGCATCAAAAAGTCATATACTCGTGTGTTGCATCATGCAGTGATATACCCTCGTGTGTTGCATCACACAGTGATATACCCTCGTGTGTTGCATCATACAGTGATATACCCTCGTGTGTTGCATCATACTGTGATATACCCTCGTGTGTTGCATCAAACAACCATATACCCTCGTGTGTTGCATCAAACAACCATATGCCCTCGTGTGTTGCATCATACAGTGATATACCCTCGTGTGTTGCATCATACAGTGATATGCCCTCGTGTGTTGCATCATACAGTGATATACCCTCGTGTGTTGCATCATACAGTGATATACTCTCATGTGTTGCATCATACAGTGATATACCCTCGCGTGTTGCATCACACAGCCATATACCCTCGTGTGTTGCATCATCAAATCGTATCCCCTCGTGTGTTGCATCATACAATCATATACCCTCGTGTGTTGCATCATACAATCATATACCCTCGTGTGTTGCATCATGTGGTAATACACCCTCGTGTGTTGCATCATACAGTGATATACCCTCGTGTGTTGCATCAAGTAGTGATATACCCTCGTGTACAACATGTGAGATTTCCAGTGGTAGGGCATTCCACAGTTTTGGAGCTGCAAAAAAAAGACCCACTTCGCCCATCTTTGTTTTAGTTTTAGGAACATGAAGTAGTTTATCATCGGCTGATCTTAAAGCTGTTGTGGGTTGGTAGTGATATGACATGTGCTAAATATAGGTTGGGGAGTTTTCATCATTTAGTGCTGAATATGTGATAGAAAGAGTCTTGATGCGGCGCTCTACGGGTAGCCAGTGGAGTGATTTCAGGACAGGGGTGATATGGTCAGTTCTCTTGGTACCAGTCAGCATCCTCGCAGCACTGTTCTGCACTTGTTGCAGTAGTTTGATGTTAGTGGCAGTAGTCCCATTGAGGAGGGCATTTCCATAGTCAAGACGTGATGTGACACAGGCTTGGATAACTGTCCTCAGACTGTCATTGTCAAGCTATTTCTTGATCTTGCTGATCTTAACTAGCTGGAAGAAGGCAGATCTGCATGTTGACTTGACATGGTTTTGCATCGTCAGGTTTCTGTCAAACTTGAACCCCAGATTTCGCACGTCATTGCTTGGCTTGATATGACTGCCACTAATCTCAAGAGTTACATCTGGGATTTTGGACTGGGAATTTTGGAGTGCTAATAGTCATGAATTCTGTTTTGGAACTGTTGGATTTGAGAATCGAACCCAAGGGGATGTAATCAAGTGTTCAAAGCAAATTACACTCACCAAGCTGACTTTGCGGAAAAGCTGTTAAAACTGTATTTATTACATAAGAAATATTAACATTTCGATTGGAACAACTTGAACGAGAATGTCACTGAGGGGTATAACTGTGCAAAGTTTTATCGGTCCATCAGTTTCAGAGGAGGGAGTCGTCACAGTCACTATGATCTAGCTTTCTTGGTTAAAATATGTAGGTATTATCTACAGCCAATACGACACACAGCTACCAGTTCGACGGGGCTAGATGTATAAACTTGCGTCTGTTAACATAGGTGGGTGTGTTGTTTAGCGCCGCACTCAGAATAATCGAGTCTGGACCAGACAATCCAGTGATCAACAGCATGAGCATCGATCTGCGCAATTTGGATACGATGACATGTGCCAACCAAGTCAGTGAGCCTGACCACCCGATCCCATTAGGCGCCTCTTACGACAAGCATGGGTACCTGAAAACAATTCTAACCTGGATCTTCAAGGGTTTCCCGTCTGCTAACAACATAAGCGACAACAACACTCCTGTAACATACGGAATAGTCTATTGTACAATAACGACATTATCGTAAGCATATTTTTATGAATCACTAATAGTGATGATACCAGGTGTCCTGCCTATCCTGTCACTATGGCAACCGTCACAAACACATGGACAGGCCAGGCAAGGTCAAATGAAACAAAACAACTTGCTGGAACATATGGTTCATGTAAACAAAGAAAATTACATCCAGCAATTTTGGGCCACTGATGTCCGTCACACATCTTCCATCAAACTGTTTAAGTCGCCTTGATTGTTGAAACCGTGATCAAACAACTCATCTGGCGCTCTTGGACGCTGTAGGCGCAAGTTATATGATGATGCCAAAGGCTGGAACTGTCCAACTATTGCTTGCTGGAAACGGAACGTTGACTTTGGAGGTCCTCACTATTGGCGCAGGCTCTGGACGATACTATACTGTCATTCTGAGTGCATAGATCTAAACATAAACTAGATGAGGCAGGTGCACTGGTTAATTCAGGTAGGTACATTTGTGGACGGAAAATGTGTTTTCGGCGGAGTTATTCATTGTGAAACAATGTTCCTAATGTTTAACATTGTACAGTAGGAAAGGGCGGGGCAGTTGGATACTGGAAGACCTGGAATATACATGGTACTACAACTCAATAGGCATTTCCACGATATTTTTACCCAATGGGCTGGTGCATCTTCTCGCGTCTTCTCTTCTTAGGTACATATTTGGAAGTAACTCTCACCATCCAACTCAAGCTACAAGAAATGAGGGGCGGTGGGGTAGCCTAGTGGTTAAAGCGTTGGCTCGTCACGCCGAAGACCCGGGTTCGAATCCCCACATGGGTACAATGTGTGAAGCCCATTTCTGGTGTCCCCCGCCGTGATGTTGCTGGAATATTGCTAAAAGCGGCGTAAAACCAAACTCAGTCAGTCAGTACAAGAAATGAAGCAATCACTCTTAAATTGCTCTTGGATACTACGCTTAGGCCTATACTTGGGAAACTCAATCATTGTTCCATCTGTGCTTTTATTTCTACATTCACTGTTTGGGTGAGAGCATTGATATCACTGAAGCTAAAGTTAAAAACCTTAACAAAACTGTTTCATTCTGATTTTGTCAATCCGGGTAGGAACAATATAGAACAAACTTTATTCGTGAGTGCGACGTTTTGATACGGATTCTTGTACCGTTGTCAAGCATAATGGAACATGAAGAGGGGGGAGTATACATATACTGGTTGTAACAATGTAACAAAGAAAACAACATAATTAACATAATAGGCTAGGCAGAAAGCTGATGAAGCCAGAGAGTAGACAAAGGACAGGCGTGGAAGCCAATGATGTACAAATAATAATGAGATGTTTAAACAGCAGAGTTTATACAGTAGATTGGGCTTGGTGGATGAGTGCATCATAAGCGGATGGAATGAAGTATCCTTGGTCTCGGTTGATGGTGGGCTTTTGGCGTTTGATGTGGATGGCTTCGGTGAGCTTGCGTTTAGTGAAGTCCGTGTGTTTGTTAGAGAGAATGGTGATGTCAGACCACTCTATACTGATCTGTACTGGTAGAGTGGCATGAGTTGCCGTCTTCTGCAGTAAATCACTTTTCCTGACAGGGGCGAAGAAACGGTTTTCAGAGCGGGAGGGCTAATTTATGAAAAGTATTGAAAATCAAAATGAAATTGTAGTTATGGTAAGGTAGATATGGTTTCGTCTTGAAAAACGTAGGGGGGCTAAGCACCCCCAAGCACCCCCTGTTCCTAAGCCCTGGCTTTCAGTGTGTGTGTGACGGCGTTACCGGTGAGGCAGGATACGATCACCTTGAGCTCCTGGCGCCAACACTGTTTGATATTCTTCTGCTCGTGACTGAGTTACAGTTGTACATTAACCACCAGACAATCCAGTGATATTTAACCATGTATTGTTCCAGCTGTATGTCGGCAGTCTGTAAATAGTCGACTCTGGACCAGACAATCCAGTGATATTTAACCATGTACTGTTCCAGCTGTATGTCGGCGGTCTGTAAATAGTCGCGTGTGGACCAGACAATCCAGTGATATTTAAACATGTACTGTTCCAGCTGTATGTCGGCGGTCTGTAAATAGTCGCGTGTGGACCAGACAATCAAGTGATATTTAACCATGTACTGTTCCAGCTGTATGTCGGCGGTCTGTAAATAGTCGCGTGTGGACCAGACAATCCAGTGATATTTAACCATGTACTGTTCCAGCTGTATGTCGGCGGTCTGTAAATAGTCGCGTGTGGACCAGACAATCCAGTGATATTTAACCATGTACTGTTCCAGCTGTATGTCGGCGGTCTGTAAATAGTCGAGTCTGGACCAGACAATCCAGTGATATTTAACCATGTACTGTTCAAGCTGTATGTCGGCGGTCTGTAAATAGTCAAGTCTGGACCAGACAATCCAGTGATTTTTAACCATGCATTGTTACAGCTGTTTGACGGCGGACTGTATATTGTAGAGTCTGTACTGCTGATTGACACAATGAGCTGCTAATACCATGCAATACAATGCTCCATCATCAGCCAGACCACTGATGCCAACCTCCAGACCCATGCCTGCGTTAATTAGAGGCCAACAAGTCGTTCAGGAAAATATTCAGTTTGCTGCTTATGTTTAGACGTGAATGAGGCTGAATCTGTACTGTTTTTGCAGAGTGCATCTGGAGAAGAATAGACAATGGCTTACTTGTCTTGAAACCTTTAAAAGAAATATAAGCCTTGGCCTCCTCCACATCAATTGCTGTTATCTGTTTCCCAATAAAGTCTACCAAAAACCCAATATAGAATGTCCATTGTGTAACGTGTACCTTCACAGGAGACACAG